AAATTTTTTTAATAAGTGCACCTTTCACTATGGATTGTCTTACCTATGAGATTGATCTGCTGAATTTATTAAATGGGACAAGCTGGGCATTCGGCAGTATTTCTCAGAAACATAAACCCAGACCCTCCCCCCAAATGTCCAAAGTTTCCCTTAACTCCATATAAGCAATAACTCTTTTCAACTCTTAGCTAAATGACTTCAATGCAAATATACCTTTTGATTTCAAGAAAGTACAGGTTGAGCTAAGACAACTTTGTATACAACTGATGGCATATTGTTACTCCAAAGAAATGACAAATAATTTTGTAGGCATAACAAATTTTTTGTTATTAGAGATAAAAACTTAGCAAATGAGGAGTGGGTGGCTTCCGAACGTCATCTACACGGACATCTACATGAGTTCAATATGCGTGAGCTCTGTCCACTTCTATGACAACTTGGCAGCCTGCTAACTGCATCTGGAAGCCCACAACTCCTCCCTGCCCCCGACCTGAGCAATCTAAGGGTAGTGGCTCAAGCTGACTTCCATCTACTATTTCTTTTCTTTTTTGCTTGAGAACCACTGCTTACTCAATCCACTTCTTGTACTTCAGAACTCTTCATTATGAGCTAGATCAGTGTTTCTCAGCCTCAGCACCACTGACATTTGGGGTCAGATAATTCTCTGTGGTGAGGCCTCCCTGTGCGCTGAAAGATGTTGAGCGGCATTCCTGGATTCTGCCCACTAGATGCCAGTAGCACCCCCACAGTGGTGACGATAACAATGTATCCAGACATGTTTTGAAAGGCTGGTGCTCAAACATGAATGTGCAACAAAACTTCTGGGGAGATTGTTAAAAAATGCAAATCTCTAGGCCCTTGCTCCAAAAGAATCTGATTCAGAATGGGAATCAGCATTTTATTCCATGGCCAAAGGACGCTGACTTTGAGAAATAGGGATGCCCCAGCCCCAGGACACAGGAAAGTACCTGGGGCTGTGTACTGTCATTAAATGCCACTGGAGTTAAATCCCATGGCACATCCATTTATCACCTTCAATAGGAGTTTCTCACAGCTGCATTTGCCTTCTGCTTTCATCACCAGATAAAAATGAGCTGGGATTTCCTCTCTCAAGGACTGTGCCCTTTCAAAGTTTCCTCCATTTTCCCTCTCCTTTGACCCACTCTCCCACTCAATATCCTACAATCTCAAATGTCACCACTCTTTTGTGGTTTCCCGAATGCCCCCCCCCCAATTAATCTCTTCCCTCCCCTTATCCTCATAAAGCAATTTATATACCCCCGGTGGTGTACAGGTAAATGTGTAACAACCAGCTCTCCAAAAGAAAGCCAAGATTTGTAGTAGCCTTTGCCAACTCCCACAGTGCAAATCCTCCCTTCTTTCCCACAGTGAGGGAAAAAGCTGAACTTGGAGTTGGAAAGGGCTTCCCCCCATCGGGAATTGTAGGCACCAGTTTGAGCAAACCATGATACACCTCTGTTGCTTCACCTCCACATGGCACTGTCATCACATATTCTCAGTCTGTCTCTCAAGACTGTAAAACTATAAAATGCTCAAGGACAAGAATGGTATCTTATTCATCTTGGTAACCCCAGCCACCTTCCCAGCACTTACCATGCAGTAGGTGGTCAACATATATTTGCAGAATGAAAAAAAAATAAATGTGCAGCCTCCCCTAGACATTGAGGCCAATCAGACTATTGCCACTGCCTCATTAAGGAATGGAAAAGAAACTCTTAGAAAATGAAGCTATTAAACCGTAATTTAATATCTATTCTACACTTAACTTATGACAACAACAAGCATAACACTATCTCCCATTCTAATGCTCCTGTGTTTAAGCTATATCAGAGGGACACGGTCAGATAATGCCTACAATTAGAGTGAAAGAGAAGAGACTGGCCTTCTAAAACAGAACCAACTTCACTGATGTGTTTGTGAGCCAGTGTATGTTTTGGGGGGTTTTCCACAAAGTCATCATATATCTTTGCATCTACATACTTACATGTCTTATCAGCTATGGAGGATAAGGTCTCTAGGCAGAGTATATATATGATGATCTCTGATAGGTTTATGAAAGGGCATTTCCATGAGTAAGAGGTCCAATGATTGATGCCGCTTATCTCCATCATCTTCTCATTATGCATTAGGACAGGAATGCTAATGGTGGGGTCATCATTCTGAGTGCCTATTCTGAGCTGAGCATTGCATCAGGCCCTTCACAAATGTGCACCATTTAATCTCTACCAAAGCACTAAAAAGTAGGCATCACCATCAGGCAGGATCATTGAGGCAAAGTAAGTAATGTAAAGTCTTATTCTTATAAACAGCTATACCCAAAATCATACCTAAGGGTTTCAAATCAAATTCTCTGCCTTATGCTTGCTAGGGCCTGAGCGTTTGTGTCCCCCCAAAATTCCTATGTTGAAGTCCTAACCAGCAAGGTGATGTTATTAAGAAGTGGGGCCTCTGGGAGGTGGTTAGATTATGAGGGCTCTGTCTTATAAAACCAGCCTGAGGGAGGCTGTTTGCCCCTTCTGCTGTGCGGGAACACAGCAACAAGGTGTCACTGATGAAGCCGAGAACCCTCTCCAGACACCAAATCTGCTGGTGCCTTGATCTTAGACTTTCCAGCTTCCAGAACTATGAATAATACATTTCTATCATTTATGAATTACCCAGACTAATGTAGACTGTTTTGTCATAGCCTCCAGAACTGCCTAAGACGGTGCTATAAAACATGCTGCCTCCAGAAATGAGTCAGTACCTAATAAAATAAGTACCTAATAAAAGTGAGTATTGTGACTAAACGAAGTTACCTTTTCATTTACACATGGACAAATATAATTTTAAAATACTTTGGAGTTAAATCAATGGTCCTTTAGGGTTTGTCCACTGAGTGAGGATTAGATCTGCCTACTGGAAACAGCGTAGCAAAGTAAAGAAACTTGCTTGGCCAAAGGAACATATATTCTGTTCCCAAGTCTGTGATTAACAATGTTTACAAGAGTTTCCCGAAGGGATGTTGTAAATCTCGCCATCTCTTCCTTAAGAAAAGCAGCCTAGATGATAATCCTCTGTGGTTATGTGCGGGTTTGTTATAAACAGACCTCCACAGCACACTGACAGAGGTTTCCGGGTGGTTAGTCCTGGACAGGCCCCACTTGGACGTGGATGGGCATTGTCACGGCATCCACGGAAGGTGGCTAACAACACCTGTGCCACTTCCCTCAGGGTTCGATTAGGTCAAAGCTTGTGAAATGAGTGCTTCAGTAAAAAAAAAAGAAAGGTTGAATATCAGTAATTTCATGTAGCTTATTTTAATGAGTGCCAGGAAACATCATCAAAAAAACTCAATGGAAACCAAGCTGAAGTTGCCTATGCAGACACCAGGAGAGGGTGCCCCACAGTCTTTAAGGCTATAAAAAAAACATATTTTTTCTCCCTTAGAGGTTCCAGAAATCCAGTTGTTCTGTACTTATGGAAGCAGAAGAAAACTTTTCTAACACTGTTTTAACATAATTAGTGATGGTAATTTGACAGCAAAGTAGTTAACAGGAACATGAGTCCCTGCTTCGAACAAAAAAAAAAAAAATCCCATCTATGATTCTTAGTAGGTAGTCACAAAAAGAGACAAGTTTCTACTCACTAAATACAAATTCCTTAAGGTAGTTTCTTCCTATTGATTAAGTAGAATAATTTGGCATACCACAAGGATGGGGTAAATAAGATTTGGAGACCATTTGTGGTTCTGACTTGGTCCTCAGGGAAACCAATTGACATCTCTAAGCCCAAGACTGCCCAGGGGACAGCTGAGCAGACTGGATGAAATCATATATTGGAAAGTGTGCGCCGTATATGTGCTACTGCTTGTTGCATAACTGTGTTGGATGACTAACACTGGAAAGAAGGGATGAGATCTACGAATATAGAAATGGAAAAATGGGCCAGGCTTGGTGGCTCATGCCTATGATCCCAGCACTTTGGGAGTGAAGTGGGAGGATTGCCTGGGGCCAGAAGTTTAAGGCTAGACTGTGTAACACAGTAAGGCCCTGTCTGTACAAAAATTTATTTATTTATTATTAAATCATAGCTGTGTACATTAATGTAGTCATGGGGTATAGTGTGCTTGTTTTATACACTATTTGAAATATTTTCATCAAACTGGTCAACATAGCCTTCATGGCATTTTCTTAGTTATTGTGTTAAGACATTTATATTCTAAATTTATAAAGTTTCACAGGTACCCTTGTAAGATCAAAAACTAGCCAAGCATGGTGGCATGTTCCAGTAGTCCCAGCTACTCAGGAGGGTGAAGCAGGAGGATCCCTTGAGCCTAGGAGTTTAGGGCTACAATGAGCTGGAATCACATCACTGTACTCCAGCCTGGGTGACAGAGTGAGACCC